GGAAAGAAGACCAAGTCAGCAAACTGGACCTGGTGGTGGCACCTCCATCAGCAGCATGATGGGGACAGGCTCTGTATGAACACTGAAGGTGCCTCCACACACTGGGGAGCAGGACTGGTCCACCCCCGATGCTGTGAACTCCCAGCAGGTGCCATTGCCCCCCAGTTCCCACCAGCATCTCTCTGAGGCTGCTCAGAAGTTTTCAGACTTGTGGCAACATGACAGAGCAGATGGGGAAGAGGACACAACAGCCGACAACAGCCGCAGGCCGTTTTCGAGGATGCTGTAATTGTCAGCATCAACATACCCTGTCCAAGCTCTCCAGCAAGCACTGGAGCTGTGGGATACCACCAACAGGCTGTGCCAGCCTGTGCTGTGGGCAGAGCTCGGGTGCTGCTCGGAAGGCTGGGGCAGATGCATGGCTGTGCTGAGTGGGGACGTGCACACACGACACAGCACAATACAAATGTGCATTAATTTACATGTGAAATTACACACGAACTTCAGGGAGAATCTGGCACACTGTGCTGCAGAGACATTGCCTGCAATCTGACAGGGCACAGACTGCACGGCGTACGGCGCTCGGCAGGACAAGGAGGGGCTGATGTGCAAAGAAATCCAGGTCTGCAGAGGCATTCAGGCACCTGGATTTCTCACGAACGTGTCAGCTGAATCCCTCCTGTGCTGCCTGGTTTGCCACTGCACTCCATGGGAGTGAGCCCACAGCCTGGGCCTGTGGCTCTGGGAACCAGTGTTCATACTTCTCATACCAGAGCAGAGCCCTCATCACAGCAAAACAGAGAGGATCGGGGTCAACAAGCTGTTCCCATGCGACAGCAAGCAAACACACCATTTAACTCCTTACATTCATCAAACTTAAGCTCACGGGAGAGGCAAACTGTGGCACTGCTGCAGCAAGAACCAGAAACACGTCAGGGAGCAGCGATTTGCGATGTGGTTCAGCTAGACAGTTTAATGCCAAATTTCTGATCCACTTCTGCCTGCTGCACTGATGTGCAAGGAAAACATAAGCTATTTTCTTAAGGAACTTTTCGGTACTGGAGTACATCCCATTCTCCCTAATGTTCATGTGTAATTTCCTTCCAACAAGGCAAGTGCAAATTCTGCACATTTATGTACTCTGAGCATACCCCCCCGCACACGCAGCCCTGCCATCTGAGAGCCTGATCAAGACAACAGATACCCAATGGTTTTGATATTTCTCAGCTAGGAGCTGCTAAATCCTGCTCAATCTGCTTCTTAATTAAGACTTGGTGATTCTTTTATTCTAATTGCCCTATAATTGCTAAAGCAATTAGTTGGATGTCAATTTGGACGCGCTGCATTCGGCGCCGTTGATGGTGCGGCGATACAGCAGGGCTGTAGGTGGGCACACGCCGGCTGTGCCAACAGGGCACCCCTTTCCTTTCCCAGGGCAACTTCATGAACACAGTGAAGCTCCCTGGGCCTGCTGCAGGGGTTTAATGATTCCTGCCACGCTCCTCTGTGCCAGCAGCACAAAATGGGCTCAGCAGCAGAGCTGCAGGACTGGAGGAAGGCACAGCTTCCAGAGAGTAGAGGAAGGTGTGGAGCTGGAGAAGCTGAGGATCGCAAAGAGTGGAGAACATGTCAGATGACACAGTTTGTTTCAGGGAGAACGCAGAAGCATGAGATAACAAGCAAAGGGACAACACCAACACAGACCCTCCTTGGGCTGCAGTGGCACTGACCCACACCGTGAACTGCACAGCATCACGGCCGACTGGCCCTGTGGCCAGCAGGAACCTCCTTTATGCCACACATGGGCAGGGACAAAACAGCCTAAACTCAAAGCTGGGCTCTGAAGCATGCCCATCCCAGCTCTGGGCACAGGGAGACCCCGAGGCAGGTCAGCAGCATCATGATGCCTCCAGAAACATGAAAAAAGGGCAAGTCCTGCTGATACAGGAGTTCTTTATGGCTTGAAACAAGCACAGGCTGCATGGGCAGGGCTGACCCTGCGGCACCTTCCTGCACACATCAAGCTGCTTGGGAAGCAGCGAGCAGATGTCGCAGAGCACTGGGCATTGTGGGGTCCCTGCAGACCCATCGTGGCAGCCACGAGCAGGATCACCCCAGGCCTGGCCACAGGGGACACAGCGACAGCACTGCTGGAGCGATGCTATTTCTGTTTGGCTTTTTGGCTTTTGGGCTCAGGAACTGTGGGATGTTATGGAAATCTGCAAAAGTGTTAATCAGACAGCGAATTTCAAAGGGGGGAAAGAAGGGCTGGCAGGCAGGGACTAGAGATAAAATGGCAAACTTGGAAACCTCTAGCATTGTTCGGAAAACTCATCTGGAAAGGAATCAAAACTGTCTTTGGACTTGGCTAGTTAGGAGAAAGGAAGTTTAACCAGAAGAGATCAGTGCTGATTCAGGACAAAAACATACTTAAAAAAACACAGTCTGGGGCCTTTTTTCCTCCTATTGTGAATGTATTTTAATGAGACTTCATTTTCATTTTTGACTGAACTGTTATGGGCTCTTAAAGCTACCCAGGGCACTGAAATAACTCTGCAGTAATGGAAAGCACAGTTCAGGCTGGCAGGACTTGAACTGTTCCACGCACGAGGAGCGTGGGAGGGCTTCGTTTTTATATGCCTGGGAAAATAAAAAGGTTCAGAGCACAGACTGGATTCACATGTTGCTGCCCTATTAACACAACTCCAACATGTCGTTATAGATGTCCTCCCAGGAACACGCTATAGCCATTTCCAAAATGCCTTGGTGAGGCCAGGGTGGGAAAAGCACAGAAAACAGCACTTATCCCAAGTGCCTGCTAATTTTGGGACAATTATCTATTTGCATTCTGTGTAGAATCAAACCTCAGCTCCATCCCACACACAAAACTTGGGAATGCTTGGACCCAGATGTAAAAGCTGAACTCCAGGACCTGAGTTTTCCTTTAACAACTTCCAAACCCTTGACCCTGTTAGGAGCTGGGCACAATGGTACCATGGTATCTCATGGGGAAGGCTTTCTTTTTCAGCATTTTTCCAAAGCTGTGGCAGAAAGCAGAGACATGGACCATTTTACCTATGAGTCTCACTCAGTTCTGCAGAAACAGCGCTGCACTGATTGTGCAAATGCTGCAAGTTCCCTCTGAGCCCTGTCCCTTGCAGCAAGACCCCTGCCACCCCATCCCATCCCATCCCACCCCCTCAGACACCCACCAGACCCCACCAGTGGTGACTCCAGCACCTTCAGGTGCCCTCCACATGTGCAGACCACGAGTGCCTGTGGCCGGCAGCTCTTCCCAGCTGAAGACAGCTCCTCCAAATCATTTTCCCCCAAAACACAAATAGACGGGCTGTTAGGCAGAGCATTAATACGAAACAAATGTTTCGAGCATGTAGCGTTGACTTACAAGGGAAAATACAAGCACTTGGAATTTTTCCACTGCGCGACGGCAGGGACCTTTGCAGCAGCTGTTTCAAATAGACGTTGTGATTAATGGGGATAATTCAGGAATGAAAACCAGACCCATCGTCACACGTCCGACTGAGCAGTGCTGCAGGCAGGCAGGCAGCCCTCCTCTCCACCAAGAAATGCCTCTCTGAAGGGAGCAGAGTTTGATCCCGAGGAACGTGAGGCGCATGGGAGGTGTTTGCCTATCGCTAGCATTTCAAATCACAGCCCTGAGCTGACACCAGCCACATGGAAGGAGATGCTGTCTGTGCCACTGCAGGGACTCTGTCCTGCTTTGTGTGGCAGGGAAGGTGCTGCCTCTACTGATCCAGCCTGAGCCCTCATCCCTTCGTACTGCTGGACTTGTGCACCTGGGACAGTCCAGGGGCTTCTCTGGGCATTC